CATTTTGAATATCGTAGCTCCAGTGTCAAATTGTAATATTTACCTGGCAGAACAAGTAACACGTTCAGTTTTCACCAAAACTGCATAAGCTATCCTCGTTGCTGCCAAGAATCACTTCCGTCAATAACAAATATCAAGAAAAAAACAGCGGAAACTTACCGTATGATAAACTAATTTGTCTTTGTCCGATATTTCTTCCGACTTGCTGGCTTGCATAAGCCACTCAGCCAAGCTAGGCTGTAATTTTCATTGGTATACAAATCAGACAAACGCAGAAACATTATTACTATTAGGCAACGAAAAAAATCTTGTCGATAGGCTGATTGCCACTGAATTATCGTTCTTCACGCCTAATTATGCTTTATTGGTCTATGTTTTATGTGCACACAAGATTTGATGGGATTAGGAAAAATAATGCATGTGCCACATGCAGGTGAAATCAGAAGCATGATAACCACAAAGTTTAATCTGCTACGTTCAGCTGCGCTTAGCCATTTCATGGGATCTTGTAGGGAAATGTCCGAACTTTGACAATGTACGTACTTGGCAATCTCAAATATTAATTTTTAAATAAGTTTTAAACATTTGATGTAGCTATTATTATTGTTGCTTAGACTTCGAATCGTTTACAACTTTCGTTATTCGCTTAAAGAAAACTGTCGACCCGAGGCTTGCGGGTTCGAACCTCCCCCTTGGAAGTCCATTCCGAGCCGGTGATGTTGTGGTGTAATACAGGATCGACATACATAGGTACATCGCATCACTGGAGCTTTAAAATTTGGAAAAAGATGAATTCAAAATCAAACCAATGATCCATCATTCATATAATGCCTAGTGACTGAATGCATGAACAGCTAGTTCTAAAGCCAAAAAAATAACTTTTGCTGGCTTATTCAAAAATCAATTACCAATAGATTGCTTGTGGAGTAGTACTGGTTGGTACTATGGGGTCGGCAAAAGGGTCAAGGGTGGCCTATTTGCCAGGCTTTGTATCCCCACCATTACTACTACTACCACCCGACAACCACTTGGTTCATGTATACAGGGGCATCCAACGTTGTTGAAAGAAAGAATTAGGTTGTAAAATTTCTCCCACAAATGCCAGAGTTTTGATTCGTCTGGAAGGAAAAATCAAATTAAACACTAAGTAGCGTTGCCAGATTTTCAGACTCAAACGAATCTTGAGCAACTTCTGATGGGGACAATAAATGCTGTTTTTGTTTAGTACAAATCGGGAAATAAACTGCCTCAGCATAGTCAGGCTACTGTTGGTGGCTTGTAAAAGCTGCTCAGTGTTAACTTATTTCTTACCATCCATTTGACGAATGAGAACATATAGAACATTTCGAGGAACAGCACATTATGGAATTATTTAAGAAGGCGTCCGTTGCTTACGTGAGGAATTTTTGAAGATTCCTCTAAAAACCCACCCTCAATGGTGAGGTGTCGTGGGATTTAGCTTAGCCCCTTTCCTCCGTCCCTAATCTCACATGAAATTTTTAAAAATCTCCATTGTTAGTTTAAGTGCGTTGCATTTATTTAAAAAATAACAATTTCCTCACAACTTTACACTGTTTCTTACAGGGACAATTACGTTATATTTGCCTAGACCCTCTCAACCCTACGAGAGATGGGGTGAGACTCGACTCGACTCCACCTGCACCTGAACGCCTCACGTAATTAACTGTCGCACCCTAAGCAAAAGTTTAAGTGCCTATAACTTTTTTATTCTAAAATCAATGCTTCGCCTCTTTAGTGGGTTGTATCGTTTATGAGAAAAGCAGTTGCTTTGCGAACGATTAGAAAATCTAGGATGAGGAGATGGCAAGTCCGCCTGACAGGCCTAGAGCGCGATGGCATCATGAAGGAGTGGAACAAGCTTCATTATCATATCGATAGATTATTTACCGCTTGTCGATATGGGAGAGCTGAGAAGGACATATTTGCTTTCCGTCTCCTGTAACCATCGCCAACCGCAGGCCGCGCTGTTTCGTGCTTATTAGCAACTCATCATTGCGGTATAGATCTAAGGTCTAGTCGTGTAGGCAGACGAAGCGGAAAGCAAGCAAGTGGGTGTGGTCTTTCGAAACATTGTGTGCAAGTATGTAGATGGAAATCTGACGATTGCCACCTAACAATGGTGTAACCAAGCTGATTTTCAGGCATTCACAGAGCAAACCTAAAATAGCTTTTCTATGCATATATGGGCATCTCTATCATCTTTACTGTACGTGGATAATGATGAAAATCAGCTTGGCAAAATCATTGGTATATAGGTAGGTATTAATCAGATTTCCATCTACTTCTGCACGTTTCGAGAGGCTGGAAACCGTCTGTTGCTGAAAAGCATTAAGTAGTGTAGTTGGAACAGTAATATCTCAAAGTGCCAAAATGAGGTTAAATGCAGAAAACTATGCTCAGTGACAAAGAAAATAGACAGTAGAAATGGTAAGGGTAAACTGTGAATAAATTTAAAGGAAAAAGATCTCCTGGATTTCCATAATAATTTATTGTGTTGCCCCGGGTATGCTTCTGAGGAGATGTCGATCTTTTCTTGAGGTATCTCATCTCATGTTATTGTCCTTGGCTGTTCAACTGGCAATGGATGAGGCTGACCTAAGTATTATTGACGTACTTAGTTGCAGCCCTAGCAAGATACAGGTAGGTACGGTCATCACCTTGTTGGGTAATAGGGTTCTTTAGTGTGAATAAATGGATATCGCGTTGCGCTGTCATACTTGGTCTAATGAAAACTAGAGGTAATTTAGCATCACATTCTGAACTGTAACCGTTATATTAAGGTGCACGCGACTTTCGACTGATAACTTAGGTACATTATGTTTTTTCTTCGCATCGTCTTTTGACCCGTTTCCGTCTATTGGGCAGTCCTAAGCAGAACCAAGACTCATCAACGATGTTAGACCATTCATCGTTCCAATTTCCTCGAACTGTTTAAGAATGCCTGATGGACCGGCACGTGTCAGAAGTCGTGGTGTACGTTTTCAGTTTTTTCAGTTGAATGTCACTTGCACCAGACTGTGATGGTCGGTGACGCCATTACACATAATATGTACACATAATATGTACACCATAGTGCTACATCAACTCTAGTTTCTACTAGAAGCAATATGACGGCACAGTGGCATATCCTGGGAGTCTATTTTCCAACAAGACAATGACCGTCCTCACATTTCAATGAACTCCCTCAATAATGCTCAAATCACTCTCCTTTCTTGGCCTCCTGGATCGGATTTACAGATCTTTTTCCCATTGAACATGATGAGAAGAGAAGACCTCTTTGCATCATCTTCCACAAACGCTAACAGCTCTTCGGAACCAAGAGAACATAAACCACCTCCTTAAAAGCATGCTTTGATGACTCGAGAATGTATACGGTATCTGTGTGGCCCAACACATTGTTGGAGAAAGAAACGCAGTGCAAATGTTTTAACTTCGCAATTTACTTACGACCTTATCTATCTCTAGTTGTAGAGATAATTTCTTTCGCGTCTCTGCCAGATATCTTACGAATCCGGCGCTTTACCCAGAAAACTTGAAATTTGCTCATGTCCAGCCCATCCCAAAAAAAAGGATCTAAGACAAACACTCAGATCTACAGGCCAATAGCTCTGCTTTCTGATATAATTAAGGTGATGGAGAGGTGCATAAATCGGGAGATTCTGGAGTACTTTGAGAGTTATGGCTTGATTAGCGACAGGCATTGTGGGGCTTCCGGCAAACTGTCATATTGTGGAGCTTATGTCATTGCCTTTGATACCACCAATGCGTTTGATCAGCTGTGGCATGCTACCATCTCAAGCAAACTTCCATCCTATGGCCTTCCAGAGACGCTTTGTAGATTGGCTGACTCTCTGGCCGCAAGGTATCCGACGTAATTGGCGGGCTTTCGTCTTCATCACACAATGCCAACGCGGGTATTCTGCATGAAACGGTCTTGACTCTGACATTGCTCCTCTTATCGTTCTTTCCGTACGATCAGTCGGATTGACATCTGATTATAGCACTTTACATGCAGAAATTGAGAGTGTCAAGCGGATATCTGCCGGTGAGTTGGAGAAAAGAAGGCTAGCAGTGACTTTCCCTCTGACAAGAGATCTGGAGGTTATTTGGTACACAGTACAGTACCTTGACTAACAAGAAGCACTCTAGCGCTCATCCGGTTTCGATGGATAGCTGGTGTAGTCCAGATCACCAAGAACTTGATCTAAAACGAACACATCTCATCAACAGCTGCTGGAAAAAAGGTCTAAGAAGTACTTCTTCCATTTGGAATGCTGCCGCACTGTCGACATTATCCGTGCTCGATGCTGATAAGAGCAGGGCTGTCCGGTGGATCGATGACTTTTCTCTAACGGATACTCTCGTGACCCTTTCGCACCGACCTTCCGACGGCGCCGATCTAGCTCCCTTCTACCGGTATGTTAACGGGCCTTGCTCCTCAGAGCTCTCTTCCGTAATGGCACCGCGGGATGTCTCTGTCAGACATACCCATGTCGAACTTCTTACATTCAGAACTGACCTATACGACCTCTATTTTGTCCCACCTCATATCAGCCGCGGTGCCACGGTATTTGCCCGCGTGACTCCTTCAGTATTATAATGATAACCTAGCTTATTCCCAGCAGCTGCTGTACGTGCTCATTTTACTCTAATACCCTTTAGGTGTATTATGGATGTAGACCTTCCAAGCAGCTTGTACACTTGTTCCATACAGAAATGAATTTTGTGTCCCTCTGTATTTCGTAGCGACCAGCGACGGTAAGTCACTGGTTGTCGCGTCGGCGTCCGCCGAAGAGGCTTTAAGGCAAATTAGGCCTTATTGTAAAACAGTAAAAGTAATTTTTCATCGCGGGTAAAGAGAATGTAAAAGCAGCTCGTTTTTGATGCTCCTCTGTATGTGAATCTTCACTTGCGCCGCGTTAGTGGGAGATCATGCTATTTAAGCGGATCAAGATGAATTTCGAGCATCATACATGATCAATAGTAGTAGTGAATTTACAACATGAAACCATTTGTGGTACGTACCGTGTGATCTTAGTGGTGAAGGGTAGTTACAGTTAGGGTGAAAGGATTTTTGGAAATTCCGGTTCTAAAGTTTACTTCCTGTGCGTAGAAGTTCGCGAGATATAAGAACATTTGTGTGGCTTTGGAAATTTCACAGATTAGTGTGACCAAATTTTTTGATCCTATTATCAAGTTGGCTAAAAAGGCTAGAGAAGCATTGTGATCTCAGAAATGTTACATTATTCTCCCAACGTAACATCAGTAACCATTGACTGGTGACTTTCATCACTCAATTTTCAATGATGCGATCCTAGCGGTGGAGGGTGGTTACAGCTCGAGTGAACGGATTTGCGAATTAGTGCATAAGCTCTTGGAATTTTCGGTTGGAAAGTCTATCTCCTTTTTCAAAAAAAGCTTGTGACACCCGTGCAAGTACTTGATAAAGTTGAAAACCTAGAGAATAGTGTTGCAGAATTTATCATTGCAAAATATTCTGTTATGGAGCATGTATAATTTTACAGTCCTAGTTTTTTACCTAACATTGTTTTTACGCACCTGAGCGGCGAAGTATTGTGGTCGCGAAACCTTTCAAATTAAAAATTGTAGTTTATGCTCGATTTTAGACGAGTGGGTTGAAAAACTCTTATCACTTATTTCCTCGCAATGTAACCTCTGATTTTGTAGAAATTTAGGAAGCGATGTGCTGTGGACTAAACTGTAACATTTTGGAAGCAGCCATGCAATGAACTAAAAAATAAATTGCGTTTCTGCATTTGTTTTTCAAAAACTTCTAGTTAACCGGAAGCTTCTTCGGCGCTTAACATTTGTGGAAAACGTCAAACTTCGTTTTAACACTTTTTCAGGTTCTTGATGAATCTATATATGTAGTAAGGCAAAAATTTTTCATAGGACTGAATGAAATATTTTTGTGAACGTCTACAAGTTGGGTATTTTTATATTAATATTGCGGCTCTCAAAATTTAAATTTCAAATAACCAATAGAAATAGTGACTAACTGAATAGATATGGATTTTTGTTGATAGGTTTTTGCAACTTCCTTGTGGGCGAGTTATTTTTATGTGCAAAAAAGTTCGCAAGATCTAAAAACATCTGAGATGCTTTAGAAATAATTGATAAGGTCGAAAATTCAGTGACTATGTCTTTCATTATTTGATGAATCCAGTGTATGAAGTGTATCAAGGACTACTAGCTTGCTTATATAAAGTTTTTCTTTCGGGAGGAAAGTACTATGATCCCAAAATATTCGAATTAGGCTTTATGCATCTTCTGCATGGTTTTTTTATCCCTAAACCACAAAAATCCATGTCTTTCATTTCTATCAGCTTATCGGCCTGTACGCCGGTAATCTCTCTTGTTACTCTGTCAAGATAATAGTAATCACGTCTAGGCTACTTATATTTGCATCTTAATAGGATATATTTGAATTTATTTGCTGCACTCTCAAAAGTGAACTGACTTGATTTGGGATTCTATATTTATAGCGAAGCTTCAAACCACGTGAAACCTGTGGTTCTTGTTATGTGTAGGAGTTCCGCATTCTCAGTTTTGTGAATCGATGCTTGTGAAATTTTCAAAATCGCTACTAATACTATAAATGCGAAAGTGCGTATGTATGTTTGAATGTTCCGTTTTCACATCAAAAAGGCTGAATTAAGTTCGATGACATTTGGAACAAATATAAATTAGACCTTGGACACGGACATAGATTACCTCTTATTGCGAAGATAATACTTTAGGAGTCTAAATTGAGGTTAAAATTGACAATTATTTTTTTTATTTGGTCTTTAAATATAATGTAAATGAGCAGGAATAAATAAATTTTGGAAATTATACCCTTAAGGAGTGAACTGGTGGTTAACAATCTTGGAGCTGAAGAACCTTGCATATTTCAAGTTAGGCAAAGCTAGAAATAGGATATGTTTTGTTTATAATTTAATCTTTAAAATAAAACAACAATAACAAACAATTCCAGAAATTATATCTTTAAGATAGGGTTGAATATTTCGACGGGTAATCGAATCACTTTTCAAGTTAAGTTTAAGGGACGCCTAGGACACATATATAAAAGCGTAAATACGTGCACTCACTTTAATCACGAAATTTCGAAAGCTATTTGACCTATAAATATGAAATTTGGAAGTGAGCTTGCTTATATATATATATATATATATATATATATACGTATATATATATAAAGAGAATATAATCATGCGGAGAAAAGTATATAACAACAAGTAGGAAAATAATGGGCAAAATCCGCAAAAAGGAGGAAAGTATCCGGATGTGTGGGCATGTGTATCTACTTTTGTAGTTTCATATGTGCATTCATTTCGGGTCTGATGAAGCCAACCAGCAGAAATACGTATCGCTCGGGTTACCTATCCTATTTTCTGCTCGAATCCACTTTCTTCCTTTTTGCGGATTTTGCCCATTATTTTCCTACTTGTTATATATATATATATATATGACCCGTCAGCTAAGAAACTGATTTTGCTGCAGAGCTAGACTGAGGAAGGCTAAGAGCAAAATGTAAATGTGAAGAGATGCTCATTAATCACGAAATTTCGAACACAGTTTGACGTGAACATCAAATTCGGTCGTGAAGTAGTTTATAGACCGAAAGTGCCAGCTGAGAACGGATTTCACGTCAGGACTGGATTAAGGCGGCTAAGACCAGATATATAAATATAAAAGCGAAGACATCTGACACGAAATCTGGATAACTATTTGACCTATGAACATGAAATTTGGCACAGGGGTAGCTTATGGACAAGGCATGTCAGATGGATTTTGTATGATGATATTTTGTTTTCCTACTAGAAACCTGGAATTTGGGTAGTAAATATCAGTTAACAACAGATTTTGTAACAGGAACCATTTATGGGGTTTAAAAAGTACTGGAAAATTTGTTTGAAACTCTTTAGATTTTTCTGCTGGTTACCTAAAATAGACAATAATGACGTTATTTCTTGAACTAAGAATGGATTTTGTAACTTTAGATAAAATCATAGTATGTTGCAGTATTAGAGCAAAGTGTGAAATTACAACGCCATTGAGTCAGTGATGAGACTGGTACCTACAAGATGCATTAGTGGGTTTCGAGTTATCAAGTTTCTTATCTTAGATGGTCTATTGTCTACTTAATAGCAAACACTTTCCATTCATCTTTTTCCGCTTATGGTTATTTCAGATTTTTGCTGTTTAGGCTTAGTTTTCGCTTGTCTTTTATGCTTCATTCAGCCTAGATTATTACATTCAGTCAAGACATGTTAGAAATAGCATTCTTCTATAAGAATTTTGCACCGGACATGGGTGGAAAGTAATGGCAAGTCGAATAACATTTTGGGCTTATTTACCTATAAAAGGAAGGCATATAATTTTGCAATTCTGAAAAGATTCAAAATATGCAATACTCGGACCTACCGACAAACGAAAAGTTCTAAAAGCACAAGTCAGCATCACACGTGTCTTGAAAGAGAATCTGAAGCTCTTGAAGTTATGATCTTGATTACGTGTAGATCTAAAATAATTTCGAGGTTTCCATCAAGAACTTCACGTTTTCAGTTCATTTCTGCCTAAGTTTTCCAAAACCACACATGATTCTCAGTGCCGTATCCGTCTTTGAATGCAGTACTTTCATATTTCTACACTTTCCAGGCTTATGAAGAAATGTGTAAGCGTTCTAGTATCATTCACTTCACGTCTTGAACTTACTGACCCCACTGTCTTTTATCCAAACCGTTAAGCCATAAATAACAAATTTCACCTGATTTTACATCATGTCCGCCTGCGTTTGAGCAATCTTAGCAGACTTGTCATCGCATTTCCCACGGTTTCACACGAAATAAAGACAAAAGATAAAAGTTCAAAAGTGCACTGTGAAACAACTTGTTAGCGAATGTGCTGGTAGAGATTGTAGAAAAAGATTACCATCATCGTTAATTGAATGGTGAATAGAGATGGTAACTGAAATGTATTGTCATTGTTTCGTAGTTTCTGTCTCAATTAATAATTTCGCGGGAGTGAGCAGATGCTCGTATGCCGTTCACTTTAATGTGTTGATGTAACTAGCAGATTGTTCAGATTTATCTTCTGTGATAATTTATTGAATTAGATGGGAGTTTCGCTTGATGCATCTTAGAAAGGAATATTACGAGAATCCAAAAGGACGCACCACCATAATGCAAATGCCTGGGCACTCAAGGATGATAGGATAAATACTTTTGTAATGAATGATTTGACTGACACTGTAATTATGATTATGAGGTTTATCGATGAGATCCATTTTGTGATCGATCTAGCGATAACGAGATATTCCATTCAGATCTCATGTTACTTAGGACATTGACAACTTTGAATAGGAGCTAGGTATTGCATTGGAAAGAATAAAGACGCCAACAGCCAGAGACTTCTGACTTTTCCGAAAAAGCTCGGTTTTGAAAACTTACGCGAATGAGTGTGCAAAAAGGCCATGAGAACGCTCTATGGATCGGTGACCAAAAGCACTGGAATGCATCTGCTGATTTCAATGGTTCTTTCAACAGGATGCTATAACACTTAGCAGTAACAGTATTGGTGGTCAAAAAGGCACCAAAGACATTGTCCCTCTCATGTCTTGAGAGATGAGAGTCAACACGAATAATACAATTCAATACAAAGAAACTCACAAAACAGTCGATTCATTGAAATATTTTTTAATTTTTAAATTGATTGACCATTTGAATCGTTTAGTTAAAATAAAGTCAATTTTCACGATATGTTTGAAGCGAATTTTGAACGAATACTAAAAGGTGTTCAAATGAAAAAAACAGGATACCAACACCATATAGTAAATTGTATTTTCCATCTTTGTTTGTTAGTTCTGCAGGGTTGAAGTCTGACAAAATAGTATGCTGGTACTAACTGCTAGGCAAAATATTTTTTATTTAAGAAGAGCAGTCCAAGAGCTGTGTTGAGATTCCGTAGGACCTCTTGAAATGTGTTGCTAAATTCTCTGATTGTATTCTCTCAGCATGCGATATTTTCACAATATTTCTTGCGAGTTCTGATTTTTCGAGGCCTTTGGCCGAATGTGTTACCGAATGTTTATTTTTTTGGCTGAAGGCGGTCGAAGCCGGAGTCAAAGCTTTGGAACGTATGATGTATCACAAATTTCGGAACCAAGAATTTTCGATCGATGTAAATCAACCATCGTTTGTCTTCATATAATATATGAGCATTTTATTTTGATAATTGATGATTTTTGACATCAAAAGGACTTCAAAGTCACGTCAAGCCATCATCTTATCCGGATACTCAAACTTCTCATTATGTTCATATATGATTTGCATCCTCTCTCTAATAACTAAAGTCTGACAGGATACCTAGCACTCCGATTCGAAATAGATCTAAAACAGTATTCAGAATTGGGATTCATAAAGGTGGGTACTGACCAACGTTACGAGGTGTAATGTAACATTCGCATCGAGGATGTACGCTGTGTTCTGTGTTCATTACGTACTGACTGCATGAATGCTCGCTGTGTAACATGTCACATGTTACACCTCGTAACGTCAGTCAGGACCCAGCTTTATGTTATAGGCTCACCCTTAGTGTTTTGCTACTACAATATTCAAATATTTTTTTTCTATTACAGTTGGTGGCCTGCGCCGTGCTGTCGATGGTACAGGCTCGTCCTGAGGCCGGTTACGCGTACAGCCCGCCGTCCACCTCTTACGGAGCTCCAAGCGGAGGCGGTGGAGGTGGCGGATTCGGAGGCGGCGGACATGGCGGAGGCGGCGGCGGATTCAGCGGAGGCGGCGGTGGATTTGGAGGAGGCGGCGGTGGATTCGGAGGTGGAGGCGGTAAGTGATTGAACTTTGCATTGCATATGCCCTCCATCCTTGTGACAACTGTATACGCTTAATTGCAATCATCAGTTCTGCATAGAACTTGGAGACGGACGAAGTAAACCAAACAGAGCACATTGTAGTCTACTGAATCAGTCAGTAGGCTCTTCTTTCAGACCACAAGGCTATATTTGACAAAGCTTCTCAAATGACTGATATTTCTCTAAAAAATAAAAATTTAATATTTTTTAATACAAGTCAAAACACCCAGCTCCTGGATAGTTTTTTGGACCTCAGAGATCTTTATTTTGAGAATTTGGTTAGAAATGATAAGTAGCTAGAAAATTGTGGCAGCCCTTAATTTCCTTGGTTTACTCCTAACACAAAATCCATTGTTAGTTCAAGTTTACTTTAAACAAGCTCAATGTTTAGGTATCTAGTATAAACCTTCAAGGAATTTGAAACCAACTTGAGAGTGCCGTTTGAAGCAGCAGATCTGGCTCTGTCGAAAAATGCACTCTTAACTGACAACTACTGCCCAAAAAATACCTCACTGTCAAATTTTTGATATCTAGTAGGTGAATACATACCACTTCCTTACAAACTTGGAATCCCCTTAGTCCCTCTTGATCCAGGACAAGTTCATTCTCAGCTGACGTGTCCTATCCGTAATATTCATAAAGTACTTCCCAAGCTTTAGGTTAAGTCAAATAGCTTACGAGATTTCGTAATTAATGGGGGTGTGTATCTTTCCGCCTTTAGATTCCTTAGTCCAGCCCTGTCAAGAAATCCGTTCTTAGCTGATTTGTAATATCCATAAGCAACCTCCGTACCAAGTTTTTTCTGTAACAATAATTTGAAAGGTGATACAATAAACTACTACTACTAAGCTGACTTATTTTACAACATTTGACGTTCGCCTCTCACAAAATTTCCAACTACTATCTATGACCCCCTACTTCAACCCCATCGAATTTTATTTTCGGACAGCATAATATGTTAATTTTTTAGGTCTAATATATCTCTATGCTAAGGTTCATCAGAATCGGTTCAGTCGCTTTGGAGTAAAAACGAAAGATACATGCACACTTTCGCATTTATAATACTCGTATTAGCAGGTATATAACTGAATTTTTGTTATAGGATTCGGAGGCGGCGGTGGCGGCGGATTTGGCGGAGGTGGCGGATTCGGCGGCGGCGGCGGAGGTGGATTTGGCGGAGGCGGCGGAGGTGGATTTGGAGGAGGATTCGGAGGAGGTGGCGGATTTGGAGGTGGAACCACCGTACAAAAACACATCTACGTTCACGTGCCACCACCGGAACCAGAAGAATTTAGACCACAGAGACCGATCTCGGTCGGCCAGGCGCAGAAACATTACAAGATTATTTTCATTAAGGTTAGTTAATCTTGCCAAAGTTTCGAAAATGATATACAACTTACTGTAGCCCACACCCATATTATGTAAAATGATAGCGATCCGATCGCCATACTTGTCACTGGTGTACTAGCTTATCGCTAGCCCACGCCATGCGTACTCGTTGCGAACAGCACCTATGAAGGAACGACATAACGACTTAGCTTAGCTTAGAACCTACCGCTAGTTCCAACGTGACAATTCTGTCGATCGCTACTTTTGTCATCTTGCAGTCACGTAATAAGGATGCCGATTGTACATTGACTTTTGGCGAGTTATGTAGATGTTTTCATCTTCTGCTTCTTCAAGGTCAGTCGACTCGTAAAATTGCTGTTCGCATTTGAGGTTTGAACACAAAAATATTCTACTAATTATTTTCTTCACCAAAAATTTACTGTTTTAGTGTGGAAATCGCCAGATCTATAAACCTCTAGTTTCGCTGTCAATAATTGGTTTTAGTACCTGCATCGTATTGCTAAATGAGATGCATCGTACTAGTATCTTCCTGATACTTAACATTTTACTGTCACTAATGCATTACATTACATGGACAATTACTTTTGTTTTTCACTTCCTGACTGAAATGGACATGAATACATATCAGAGAAATTACGGTTATAAAAGAACTATTATTGTCGCATGAAAGGATGTATGAGTTACGCAACTTTGTTAGTTTCTTAATAACATTATCTAAATTTGAGGAAGGAAGATTTTGATGCATGATATGGCTGCGCTAAATCAGCGAATCCATCATCATAATTTTTGGGTGAAAGTAGTACCTACATGAAATTATTGTTGGTAATAGTTACATCCGTAACCTTACTGTGTGCAGTAATGCGCATATGAAAGTAAGATGTGGATTTATGTTTCCTAATATTGTTGTTTTATTTTCCGACTTAGAAGCCAAAAATTAAAAAGATTATAATACTTTTGGAGTACATCTGTATTAGATAACGAACGTGTAAGTTATAAAATAGATAAAACTTTGTCCAGAATCCTGAAAATAAATCGGCCGACCGTGGTGTAAATGCTACGAATTGGTTTTACCATAAATTTCTGCAAATTGTAAACTGCCGAATTTTGTCATAAATTTAGGCATTCCAACTATTTGTTGAGTTTAATCATGGAAACTGTGCATGCTTAATATTCATAACCAAGAGGTACAGTACATGTATCTTCAACCAACATTTAGGCTTGTTTGCCACTATATCACCACCTACAGCATTTGAATCCGCTTATGAACTTCGGCACTTTTATCACGTAAAATCCCAAAAACGTTGAGCTCGAATACGCGACAGAGAAACGTCTAATAAGTTTGTTGAGGTCTTCCAACCAAGTTATACTTAAAGTCACACTAGTTATTTACTACTTGTACGCGTAAATCTGAAAGGGAAACTGTTTTGAAATAAATGAACTTCAACCTGACTTTCTTTTTCTGCAGGCACCAAGCGCACCAGCACCTACGGCTCCAATAATCCCAGTCCAACCACAGAATGAAGAAAAGACCTTGGTCTACGTTTTGGTGAAGAAACCTGAAGAAGCACCTGAAATATCTATTCCAACGCCCGCACCAACACAGCCTAGCAAACCTGAAGTCTATTTCATCAGATATAAGACACAGGTAAGGTTTTTGATTGAAATACACTTAAAATATATAGGATACATATTTGATAATCAATGATTTAATTATTTCTACGGAGTAAAACCTACCACCATGAAAATAAGGCGACTTTGCCATCTATGAGTAGTTTTGAACCGCTTTTAAGAAGCCGGACAAGGTCGTCCACCACATAGGTGCTAAGTACCCACTATGCTACCAGCATTGATATCCTGTGCAAAAGTTGCTTAAACCAAACAGAGGCTGAATTTGTCTCTACAATCATAAACAACCATATACAACGTTGTTTCGTGCCTTTCAGCTATCATCAATGCAGAATAGGTCTAGCTATTTGGAGGCAGATCTGTCTCTCTTACAAACAAACAAAATATTCGGTTGATTATGGTCGCAGAGATGGAAAGCACACAGATGCTTATAAGCCATATCCTGTCGCTTGAATCTCCAGGAGGTTAAAATGCCGGTGGAAGTGAATGCCGCTTGTATTGGGAAACTTTGTAAGATCAATTTCAATTCAATAACTATTGTGGAAAAGTTATGCAAACTTAAGCCAAATTGTAGGCCTTATATTAGATCACCTTTAAATTTTTTTTATAATTTTACGAAAAGCTATGAATGCAATTTTAGGCAGGTATGATATGTACGAAATGCGGTGATGTGCAAATTAATAGTTATCTCCATCGTTAACACAAATAATGATTCTATTACAACCCTTTGGCAATTTGGTTGTACCTAGTTGGAGGGTAAGGATGGAATAGCGTGTGCTTCTGAACTTGCTCAACTGCGTAATCTACAGACTTACACATCAGAGTTGTGGTGCAATCCCGTTTGCTGCTTTTGTAGTGTCAAAATGTTGGATATTGTGAGTGTCCCACGTAGCGAGATAGTGTAGTTTCTGTAGTTGTTACAAGGCAACATAATTGCCTGTGTTTTTGTCGTTAGCCGACACGTTTCCATATTAGGGTCTCATCGAACTTTATTACGATCGTAAAAATATGCTTTTATCGGCAATAAATACGTGAAAAAGCCACCCGATGCTAGCATTTCTATTAACGCCCACCTAATTTGAATTAGGAAATAGAAATCTCGCTGCATAGACTAAAGCAGAAAAACGCGCGGCGGAGTTTGTGATTCTCATTGCATCGAGTCTTCTGCATTTTCTCCAATCATCTGTGAAACGTGGGAGAAAGTAAGGTCATTCTTTTCTTTAGGCTAGCAGTAAATCGATGCGCTAATGTCTTTGTTATCGCCGGAGGCGCACCGTTATTGTTCAATTGATCACGAGAATCTGCGGGCTTTCGGAATTGCTCGACAGATTAATCTCATAGTCTAGTACAGTTGGAACACCGTTTCACTTACTCTATCAACTGAAAATGGTGTATGGACGAACATGTCAATGTAATGCAGTTCGAATTAGCTGGCATAACTCTAGTTGCAAAAGCCGAAAATGGATTACTCTACTATATGTCCAGAAAATAGATTCGGCTTGCAAATGGCATAGCGACTGAGCACTGTCAACTAAAGAAGCATATCTATAATAGTCGAAATCACGAAAGATGACGATTACGTCATCATTTTAGTCTGTAGCAAAGACTAACGACAGAGATTTGTAGGAATATTTTTAATGAAGCTTCGGATATGTTAGATAGAGACAAACAGAATATTATTGTCTAAACCAAACTGTATTGCTAATTTGCAAGTATTCGAAAAAGATAGGCGATGTTTTAATGTTGTATGATCGAACATATTTGAAAGATGAACACTTAGGTTATGTTAAAGCAGGTTAGGTTGTTTTCGAATAATACTTTGGTCATCGATGTTCTGTCTTAAGGTATTCTACTCATAACTGTTTTTTTTTCAAAACAAAAACTCCTCACTAAAATTAAAATTATTATTAAGGTATCACTCAAAACCATGAACTAAAATGCAAATAAAAATAATCAGTGAAATAACCTAACTTCGCAAAATCATAATATATATTTGTTGTCATTAT